GAACTAATTTTATTTACAAAAGTATGCTAAGTTTTCTTACTACGGTGACATTTTTTAGATCGATTGTGTGTTTATCAGAATGGCATCTAAAAGGTTGGTAAAAAGTAAGAACACTTTGTCGCAAGTATCTTTAGTGACAACAATGAAAGATACATCGATAAGTAACCAGAAGATCAAGATGTGCATTTTTTGTAAGTACCAGCACAGTTCTTCAACTATCTGCGACAGAGATCCTAAATATTCAAGTTATATTGAAGACTTGGTCAATAAAAAATGGCGAAATAAACAAAATAACAACCTTAAAAAATGTTATTTCTGTTCGGCATTCGGACATATTGTAAAACACTGTGTTGGGAAACAGATGTTAAAAGACAAGAAAAGATCCTTGTTTGCAAAAACTAATTCAGAAAGAATGGATTCAGAAGGTATTCCTACTCTAGATTGTGCACTGTGCTACTGGAGAAAGAATCAAGGAAAAGTTACAGCTCCACATATCATGTTTATAGGAAAAGCCAATTGAAATGTTCAGGAACTAAAAAGATAAAGAACGAAATTGTAATTGCAGAATTAGAATCCAGCAAGAGCAATACGAGCAAGAAAGTTTAAACGAAAAAGACAGCAGCCACTGAAACAGAGAAAAAGTCAAACTCAGAAACAATGGAAATTAATCAGCAACCACCAGCTTTTCCAGAAATGAAATCTAAATCTGATTCAGCCAAGAGTCACAATCAAGGAAAAAATGGATTGGAAACGCAAAGTATGAAACAGGCAGACTGTGAAATACTAATAGATAAACAAGCCATGAATAAAGAATTTTCATTATTAGAGGACAATAAATATATAGATTATGATCAGTTCCACAGAGCAACAAGTAAAAAATGTTGGGAAAAGTCAACTAAATGTTTGATAAACAAGAAACCAGCACAAATGCAATTAAATAGAAAATCAAATATCACTTTGGTATGTGAAATTTTTTTAGAAAAATCAGATTATAGCGGAAAAATGGTTTACTGTTTAGACAGAGAAGGTTTTTTATGCGATTTTGGACAGCTTATATTTATTTGAAGTGGCCCTATATATCAAGACCATTGAAAGTAGTGGTAATGAGCAACATCGGAACAGATGTGATTCTGGGATACAAAGACTTCAACATTAAAAACTGTTCTGATGAAGACATACGAGTCTGGAAACAAAGTCATCTCCATCAACAAAAATAACAGCTGATTCAAGGAAAATTACCATCAACTGAAGTATCACTATTTACGAACATGAAACTATACGGTCCATTATCCTGAACATCAACATCAAGACAACATATCACCATGCAAGAAGTTCAAGATTATTATCAGTCAGGAAGCTACATAGAACCACCTTCAACCTAACAATCAAGAGTAAACCTGAACAATCATCAAGAATTGATATTTTACCATTCTTCACCTTCAAGATTGTCATATTTCAACCAAAATCAGAAATCACCAACCAGTACTGTATAGTGAATGAACAGAAACATATCAGCCCCTGAATTATTCAAATTTGAAAATCACTATCAAGGAACACAAGATTTTTTTTTCTTCAGACACCTCAAAAATCAACGATTGAAACATCTCAAAATCATCAAATATTTAGCGACACTTCAAGACCAACTATACAAATTGACATCAAGATCATCGAATACCAAACGTATCATAAAATAAAGAATGCGAGAATAATGAAGCATTCCTACAGTTTAAGCGAAGACAACAGACAACCAAATTGTCAGTATTTCTAGTGTTCACAAAAGTATTTATTGTGAAAGTTAAATCAAGTTAATTATCTAAAGTGTTTGTGTAAATAAATATTAAATTAATGATGAAGTATTTTTAATAAAGTGCATAAACACCTGATTTCATTTATAAAAAACAGTCACATACTGTGTGTATTGAACACCTTCCGTTTAATTCCATTATTAATTATTTTATAGGTGGCATATCAGTGTATACAGTCACTGAACACTGATAATAGCATTGTGTTAACTCTTAAAATTAAAGTATATTTTTAGTCAGTATATCTCTAAGATTATAAGTTCAAGCCTACTAAGAGAGACCCCAGAGCAGAGCAGACTGTCGAGCAAACCAAGGAATGAGAACCTTGAAAGCAAGCGCCAGAGTATAAGCAAGACACACACAGCCTGCAGGGATGGATCAAGATCAAGAATAGTTAATGGAATGAATGGGAATGGAAGAGAATAAAACAGGTATGAATGATGAATGAAAGATTTGTGGGTAGTATTTTAAACTAAGGAATAGGGTACATGTAGTTTACTTAGGTTAGTAGTCATTAGGAATAGTTTAGTATTCATGTAATGACAGAGTTAGTAGTTCATTAAGAATAGTTTAGTATTCATGTAATGACAGAGTTAGTAGTTCATTAGGAATAGTTTAGTATTCATGTAATGACAGAGTTAGTAGTTCATTAGGATTATTTTAGGATTTATGTAATGACAGTAGTTCAAAAGTTTAAAAAAAAAAAAGAAAAAATTCTCTCCCCAGGAACAGCACAAAAGAATTAAATCAAGATTTAGCGAAAGATCATATAGAAATCTTTTTCCACAGAATGACTTAGACAAAAAATTCAATTTGAAATGTTTTAGCATAGGTGTGCAGAACAGGGACATGGTAAATTGGTCCACGACACCCAAGATTATAAACTGCTATAATTATACTGATGCTGACTAGATAGACTGATGGTAAAGAAAGAGTGCACACATCAAAGCACAAGCATAGTAGAGGAGTTGAACTCATCTGTGTCCATCTAAAGGGGGAAAGGTGTCTGAGATTCCTTGGGGTTAACTACCCTGTTAAAGGTGTTATAGACTTGGAGGAAACTCTAAGATCTATGAAAAAATATATCTCAACTATCATTGTTTTCATGTTGGATTCCTTGGAGTTGGGTAATTACTCTGTGAAAGGTGAGACTTTGGTCTATGAAAAATATATCTCAACATGCATTTTTGTTTTTTCTGTGGTAGATTCCTTGGGGTTGGGTAATTACCCTGTAAAAGGTGTTATAGAGGCTTTTGGGAAACCGGAAGCACTATGATAAATATATCTCACCACTATCATATCGGCTAAGAGTCCTTGGGGTTTAACACCCTGTGAAAGGTGATGTAGAAATATTGGTTTAATCCAATTTTCTATGTAGTAAATATCTCAAAGTTGACCATCATATCTTACCACTATCATATCGGCTAAGAGTCCTTGGGGTTAAACACCCTGTGAAAGGTGATGTAGAAATATTGGTTTAATCCAATTTTCTATGTAGTAAATATCTCAAAGCTGACCATCATCATCACTATCATCATTTCACTTTGAACCTGATAGAGTAGATATAGTGACTAGACTACTACAGATGCAATAAGTGCAAAGATGGTTTAAACTCTTCACCAGCTCAGTACTAGGAAAAGCATGCAGTAAATATTGAAGGCAGTTTTTAAAGGGCAGTAATTGAGGATAATCAGGAACCATAATCCATAGTGGTAATACAATTAAATTGATTTACTATATCTGGTTAAATGAAAATGACACTTGATGTTCCATAAAGTGTCATTATGTTAAAAAGGGGGGAGAGTGTGATGACCCTGCTTTGCATGGTCTCCACGAGTACATTGTGGCAAGCAGGAAGTCCGTGCTACAAGTGACGGCACGAGATACTTGTGGCCGGTGGAGTAAGGGAGGCGAAGCCCGAGCTAGCCTCATGGTCAATCGATCATCAGAAGTCAGGGAAGACGGTTGAAGTAATTGAAGATGTAGTTTTTATGTTGTGAATGGTTAGTGTTCGAATATGTCGCGAGTGAAATAAATGTGAAATAAATGGACCAGAATAAACTGACAGAATGTACAATGAAGCTGAGCGACGTTTGTGTTGTCAACCCTAGACGTTAAAGTCGGTGTAAACCAAGGTTCATTCCAAGTAGACCACGCCTCATTCCAAGGTGCAAACCAAGATTCATTCCAAGTCTACGTTTTGGTTCATTCCATCAAGAAATAATGAATGTTGCATGAGCAAAACCTAGCTGGAAACATACTGTTCAGAGCATGTGCAGTCGGTTGTCAGCAATTTTGGCCAGAATTCGTAAGGGGTTAGAGTTTGGGCAGTGGATTAATACAGGGTGCATTTTTAATGACTGACTGTATTTTGGAAAAATATTACCAGTCCTATTTTTGTAATCACTGTCTGTGGAGTTAATGCAACATATACTGCTATAATGTGTCCGAATTTGGGTAGTTTTCCACATTACAGCTTTAAACCAATTCTACTGGTTAAATTGCCAATTAGGATGAGGCACTTGAGTTTCAGAAAATGACATCATCAATTGTTGAACAACCATATCTAGTACGTGCTCAACCAAAAATACTCTTTCTTCAATAAGGTAACACCATTATCGCTAATATCAATTAATAAAACATTGGTAAATAGCAGAGATATTCTAAATTAACAGTAACATGGCGCTTGAAACATGATGTGATGCACACATTTTAATTGCGGTGCACAAATAATTGATTTCAAAAGGTCTACAGTCATTAATCATACACCCATATAACAACAAGATAGTTCACAGGGACTTGAGAAAAGTATAACATGGCAGTCAAAATAAGCAAATGCTTGGTAAGCTGGTTGATGCAGAATCAGTTAAATCATTAAATGTAGTCTGCTCTCTGTTTCAAAATTCATATTTAGTTGGAAAAAAAAAAATACTTAGGGATTTAAAAAAAAAAAAAATTAGTTGAAACAAATTAGCAAAAAACATAACACAACACAGAGTGAAAAGAGGAAATGTAGTTTTCCAATAGAAGTTGACTGGAATATGTGTTAGTGGTAGATTCAAAAGAAAAGAATAAATATAGAATAACAAGGAGCATACAATATATTGGTTCAGAAATATGTGTGTATACATTGTTTCCGTAATTTCAAATGTTGCCTAATCTTTTTTATTGTGTATGGTTTCAAACCATTTATGGACCCTATTGATCACCACTGGTATTATTGTCAACTGTGCTGCCTTCAAGCGCCATATCCACATTTCTAGAATGTTCCACGTGCCGGACAGAGCTTACATTATGAAAGTTAGATCTGAAAAGTTGCCTTCTGGACTTCATATTTGCAGGAGGCTTGGAGGTAGACCAGTTTTCATTGACCGGAGGTTGAAGCATTGGATTGTTTCCCAAAAATAGGTCTCCCACTACCTAAAATAAAAAAAAGTAATTCTGAATTAATGTTTATGCTAAAAATTACGTATCTACAGCTAGGGAGAAACTTTCTGTTAGTTTCATTTCCATATATTAAAAACTGGCCTGTTCTGAGACTGAAATCATAAAATGTTTTTAGAAATGTATATAGATTCGGTTATTCTGATTGCTGATAAACAATCCTGAATAATTCTTGTATAAGTAATAGTATAGCAATGGTATTAATAGACATAAAAGTAAAAAAGTAAAGATCCCTTTTTATGTGCATTGGACATATGGGAAGAGCAACCATATTTTTACAGACCAATTGGCACAAAGTAGGTAATGTGGTCAGCATTACGCCAGCTGTCTTTACTTTCCCATAATATACATCCTGGTACCCATTTAAGGCTGGGTTGACCTACGACGCCTCATACAATGGTAAAAATCCATGCAGCCAGCAGTGAGTTTCGATCGCGGTACATTGGAATTACGAGTCAGACTCGCAACGCCTAAGCCACGGAAGCTGCTATTAATAGACATAGCATCTGTTTAAATCTATACCGGAAGAAACAGTTAAAGGCAAGTGAGCAAGAGGGGGACAGTGGTATAAATGGGAGAATAATGTCTTAGTATGTACAACCAGAAAAAAAAAATAGTTTTTGGAGATTCACTGCAACATAGAGAGCAATGTTATACAGATACAGCAGTAACAGAGCCAGAGGTTGACCATGCAGAACATTGACTGCAGAAATATCAGAGACACTAAAAAGTACTTTATACAAGCAATCCGGGAATAGTGAAAAGAAGAAGAAGATTGCAGGCAGCCCTCATTACAGAGATGGCACTTGATTGATTAATGGTTTTGGCACTTGATTGATTAATGGTCTAAGAACATTCAGCAGAAAGAAGGTCTAAGAAACTTCTTCTTCTTAGCGTTCACTAGCTGTAAACTCTGGTGTGGGTTCTACACAGCCTTTTTTTTTGTTGAGAGGAAAAGGAATAGACACACTGACTCTCCTAACAAGCATAACATTAAAGCTGTCTAATTCAGTGTGTTACCTTGGAAGTCGGTGTGAACGGCCTGAAAAGTGAACCAACAGTCTGCATAACAATAAGCCATATCTGTAAAATGGATGTGCATGAAAAACTGAAGTTCTGAAACAAGATCTTAATCCAGAAAAATCTGATAGCTGCAGAAAAATAATTCAGAGGAAAATCTAAGAATATTATAGACAGAAGAATAACTGAGGAAGTCTTTCAAGAAGCGGTTGAACATCATGAATTAATTACAGAATATAGATGTAGAGAGTCAAAATTTTTTGGGACATGGTAAATAAAAACTTGACAACTTAGTGATATTTTATAAACTTCATGGGAAAAGAGCAAGAGGATAGACGAAGAAATGATCAGTTATTTTTCCAACAAAGGGTTAAAAACATGGACCTATCTAATCTTTTGTCCCATGGTGAACCTAGATGTAAGAGGACCTTTTTTTTTCTACACCAGCGCATTGAGCATATGATACCGGACATTTTTTTTATAGACCTATCGGCACTTAGTGAGTGATGTTGTCAACATCACGCTGGCCGCCTGTATTTTCTAGGATATTATCAGCTACCCATTTCAGATGTACATTCAAACCCAAGATTTTCAGGCTGTCATGTGAATGTCTAGTCACTACATTACTGCAGCTCTCAAACTCAGCTCTCAGGTGGCTCAGTCAGATTTGTCTAGTTTTTTTCCTAGAAAAATAGGCGGGTGTACTGTGTTCTGTTTTTTTAAAATTATGTTTTGAAGTTTTTTTTAAATCTTCTAATAATAATTTAATATCCATCCAGTATTATCAACAACAAAACAAGAGGCGGGTATATGGCTTAACCCAGTAAAACAATGAAGAAAATTAATATTTTTAAAAGCTAAAAATGTCATGTGAAAAACGTTAAAAAAAATAAATTCATAGTTATTTTAAAATTAATACACATTAACTGCTTTGTTTAACAACCAACCTTCCTGCCATTTTGTATGGAAGGAACGCCTTTTTCAGAACTGTTAGATCTTCCACGCAACAATGACCACGGTCTTCTCTGGAGACCGTGGTGCTGATTCATCAGATCTGCTGGTCTTCTTGTTAGGCCTATGGATGTCAAATGTGAAGAATTTATAAATTGCATAAGTTAGTTGGGAATCCTTTACAGGAAATTGCAGAACCAACCACAGCATTTTTTTGGCTGTTGTGGCTTTCCTAGGCAAGTTTACATCCAGTAGTTTGCCATTGCTTTCTGGATGGTTGGCTTCTCGATTCCACTGTCAAAACCAGTGCAAGGCCAGCAGCTGGGATCGAACCCGGCACCCCGGCATTACAAAGTGCGCTCGTAAGGCCTAAGCCACATACGCCAACATAAATCACATAGAAATGGGAAATATTACTTCATTTGAATATTTATCTGCTGTGCAACTAGCAGTCTAGTTTCTTTACTATTACTTTCCAGTCCACTGCATTTATTTGGTCAAATCTGCGTTTCGTCAAAAAGAGCTTAAGTTTTCAGCCAACCCTCCCACCTTACCCTTTGTCGACTTAGTTTAAATTTGGGCAATGATTACTTGGGTCAACCAAGGGCCAGAGGGTCATGTGTCGGTTCTGCATTTATGGAAGTCTCCTTGGATGGCAAGGAGTGCCCATAATCTGCCCCAGCCTTCCCTTGAGGGCCAACCAGTCTACACAAGGTTGCCCTGAATGGGTTCTCCAGGGGCAGCACCCTTAGATAATGGGACAAATAGGATATCACACAAATAACATTATGTCCCATGAAACCAACCAGGAAGACTAACCTGGTAAACAAATGCCTGATGAAGTCAGATTTGTTGGTCAAAAGGAGCAAACATCACAGCTAGGCCATAAACGTATAACACAAACGTAACTCAGACAAATGATGAAGAAGAAGATGGTTGAAATTTGTAGGTTTAAACTTTCTATGGGATAAGGTATCCTGTCTCTACCACAGCATGCCAGGTTGGATACACTGTTATTATTCTTTGCTTACTTTGTTGGCCCTAAAATACGTAGGTCTTTGTCAGCTGTTCCCAGATGTGTTTTTTTGCTTTACAAATGTGGGAAAATTAAAGAAAACTTTATTGAAAAAGACAAGGATGCCCTTAAAGAAAACAACCTTAAGACAAATGTTGAAGACAGAGACCAATGTGCTGGAGTGAGTTCAATCCATAATACTGAAACAATTTCATGAGTAGAACAAAGTGGAGGAACAGACTTCAAGCTCTACATGATGAATAACGGCACAAAATTGAAAATGATACTAACAGCTAACCATCTACCACCGACCTGATTTTAATGATGAAGCAGAGCCAATCGATGGCCTTTTGATACCATGTCTGCCACTATTATCCAGTGCTTTAATCGCCTGTCTGGATTGTGGCTGAGACTGTAGATATCCTATAAGAGCTTCCGGTGGCAGAAGCTCATTAGGATTAGGGTCTGTGGAAATTGTCCTTTGCATTTTCCTAACTTGTTCTGACATTCTTTCTCTGTGCTGTGCAGCCTGCTGTAGCAGACAGTTTCCTGCAGGCCTCTCTTCAGCCACCTCCAAATGTTGACTGACAAAATAGAATTAACACAATACAATCAGAACCAGTAGTTCTACTGACACTAACAGTGAAAAAGCACCATCTCCATAGTGCATCAAGCATATGATGCTGAACTCACATTTGTAGGGACTGATAAGCACTTAGTAGGGAATATGGTAAACTTTCCACTGGCCATCTGTGCTTCCAAATATATTTCCTGAGACCCATTTTAGGCTGGGTCAACCTGGGAGCCAAGGTCATTAAAAAAAAAAAGTCATGGCGTGATTTTTAATGCCAGATCTTTTGGTCGTTAGGCAAGCATCTAGCCAGTGTGCTGTTGTGGCTCCCACTAACACTGTTCCACTACAGTCCCACTAACACTACAGTCCCACTAACACTAAAACACTACAGTCCCACTAACACTGTAACACTACAGTCCCTCTAACACTGTAACACTACAGTCCCACTAAAACTGCAACACTACAGTCCCACTAACACTACAGTCCCACTAACACTAACACTACAGTCCCACTAACACTGTAACACTACAGTCCTTCTAACAGTGTAACACTACAGTCCCACTAACACTAACACTACAGTCCCACTAACACTGTAACACTACAGTCCCACTAACACTAACACTACAGTCCTTCTAACACTGTAACACTACAGTCCCACTAACACTGTAACACTACAGTCCCACTAACACTAACACTACAGTCCCACTAACACTGTAACACTACAATCCCACTAACACTTTAACACTACAGTCCTACTAACACTACAGTCCCACCAACACTGTAACACTACAGTCCCACTAACACTGGAACACTACAGTCCCACTAACACTGTAACACTACAATCCCACTAACACTGGAACACTACAGTCCCACTAACACTACAGTCCCACTAACACTGTAACACTACAGTCCCACTAACACTGGAACACTACAGTCCCACTAACACTGGAACACTACAGTCCCACTAACACTGCAACACTACAGTCCCACTAACACTGCAACACTACAGTCCCACTAACACTGCAACACTACAGTCTCACTAACACTGAAACACTACAGTCCCACTAACACTGCAACACTACAGTCTCACTAACACTGAAACACTACAGTCTCACTAACACTGAAACACTACAGTCCCACTAACACTGCAACACTACAGTCCCACTAACACTGAAACACTACAGTCCCACTAACACTGCAACACTACAGTCTCACTAACACTGAAACACTACAGTCCCACTAACACTGCAACACTACAGTCTCACTAACACTGAAACACTACAGTCCCACTAACACTGCAACACTACAGTCCCACTAACACTGCAACACTACAGTCTCACTAACACTGAAACACTACAGTCTCACTAACACTGAAACACTACAGTCCCACTAACACTGAAACACTACAGTCCCACTAACACTGCAACACTACAGTCTCACTAACACTGAAACACTACAGTCTCACTAACACTGAAACACTACAGTCTCACTAACACTGAAACACTACAGTCCCACTAACACTGCAACACTACAGTCTCACTAACACTGAAACACTACAGTCTCACTAACACTGAAACACTACAGTCCCACTAACACTGAAACACTACAGTCTCACTAACACTGAAACACTACAGTCTTACTAACACTGAAACACTACAGTCCCACTAACACTGCAACACTACAGTCTCACTAACACTGAAACACTACAGTCTCACTAACACTGAAACACTACAGTCTCACTAACACTGAAACACTACAGTCTCACTAACACTGAAACACTACAGTCTCACTAACACTGAAACACTACAGTCTCACTAACACTGAAACACTACAGTCCCACTAACACTGCAACACTACAGTCCCACTAACACTGAAACACTACAGTCTCACTAACACTGAAACACTACAGTCTCACTAACACTGAAACACTACAGTCCCACTAACACTGCAACACTACAGTCTCACTAACACTGCAACACTACAGTCTCACTAACACTGAAACACTACAGTCCCACTAACACTGCAACACTACAGTCCCACTAACACTGCAACACTACAGTCTCACTAACACTGAAACACTGCAGTCCCACTAACTCTGAAACACTACAGTCCCACTAACACTGCAACAATACAGTCCCACTAACACTGTAACACTACAGTCCCACTAACACTGTAACACTACAGTCCCACTAACACTGCAACACTACAGTCCCACTAACACTGCAACACTACAGTCTAACACTGAAACACTACAGTCCCACTAACTCTGAAACACTACAGTCCCACTAACACTGTAAAACTACAGTCCCACTAACACTGTAACACTACAGTCCCACTAACACTGTAACACTACAGTCCCACTAACACTGAAACACTACAGTCCCACTAACACTGTAACACTACAGTCCCACTAACTCTGTAACACTACAGTCCCACTAACACTGTAACACTACAGTCCCACTAACACTGTAACACTACAGTCTCACTAACACTGCAACACTACAGTCTCACTAACACTGTAACACTACAGTCCCACTAACACTGTAACACTACAGTCCCACTAACACTACAGTCTCACTAACACTGTAACACTACAGTCCCACTAACACTACAGTCCCACTAACACTGTAACACTACAGTCCCACTAACACTACAGTCTCACTAACACTGTAACACTACAGTCCCACTAACACTGCAGTCTCACTAACACTGTAACACTACAGTCCCACTAACACTACAGTCCCACTAACACTACAGTCCCACTAACACTGCAATCTCACTAACACTGTAACACTACAGTCCCACTAACACTGCAACACTACAGTCCCCACTAACACTGTAACACTACAGTCCCACTAACACTGCAACACTACAGTCTCACTAACACTGTAACATTACAGTCCCACTAACACTGCAACACTACAGTCTCACTAACACTGCTTCACTACAGTCTCACTAACACTGAAACACTACAGTCTCACTAACACTGAAACACTACAGTCTCACTAACACTGAAACACTACAGTCTCACTAACACTGCAACACTACAGTCTCACTAACACTGAAACACTACAGTCTCACTAACACTGCAACACTACAGTCCCACTAACACTGTAACACTACATTCCCACTAACACTGCAACACTACAGTCTCACTAACACTGGAACACTACAGTCTCACTAACACTGCAACACTACAGTCTCACTAACACTGCAACACTACAGTCTTACTAACACTGAAACACTACAGTCTCACTAACACTGTAACACTACATTCCCACTAACACTGCAACACTACAGTCCCACTAACACTGGAACACTACAGTCCCACTAACACTGCTACACTACAGTCCCACTAACACTGCAACACTACAGTCCCACTAACACTGCAACACTACAGTCTCACTAACACTGCAACACTACAGTCTCACTAACACTGAAACACTACAGTCTCACTAACACTGTAACACTACATTCCCACTAACACTGAAACACTACAGTCTCACTAACACTGTAACACTACATTCCCACTAACACTGAAACACTACAGTCTCACTAACACTGCAACACTACAGTCTCACTAACACTGCAACACTACAGTCTCACTAAAACTGTAACACTACAGTCCCACTAACACTGTAACACCACACTCCTACTAACAGTGTAATACTACACTCCTACTAACACTCCTACTAACACTAATACTACCGTCCCACTAACACTAACACTACCGTCCCACTAACACTGTAACACTACAGTCCCTCTAACACTGTAACACTACAGTCCCTCTAACACTGTAACACTACAGTCCCTCTAACACTGTAACACCATAGTCCCACTAACACTGTAACATTACATTCCCACTAATACTGTAACACCACACTCCTACTAACACTGTAACACTACACTCTCACTAACACTACACTCCAACTAATACAGGTAATCACAGTTCCAACTTCATAGCAAACAGGTTATCCTATAGTTCCATTCTTGTGCCAATGGAAACTGGACCGGGCACTGTAGGTTATAGTAATTCCTCTGCAGGTTGGGAGTAGACATTAGCAAATATGATTCCACACTGTTATCTGATATTTTTACCAAATTATTACATTGGTACATTGATATATTAACTTAATTTGCTTCTTGGGTTTCTCGAAACCAATTGTCCTGTTGCACCTTCGGTGAAATCAATGAATCCATTCTTAGATTAAAAATGTTTACCTAGCGCACTGTCCACTGAAAGAAGAACTGTCTCAGGTAGACCCTTTTCATTGTAGGAGAAGGCTTCTATCAACCACTCAAGAAGAATTGCCAGATTTTGCAAGCTCTGTTGTTACTTTTCCACATCAAGCGAAGTGTGTGTCTGTTAACATTCTGTTGTTTTAAGACTAGGATTTTCAGAGTGATAACCAAGAGAGGTTTTATCTTCAGATCACCACTGGCATTGGCGCAAAAGAGCAAAGTTAGTCTTTGATCAGCTTGTGCCGTGGCAATGTCCTTTCCTCCTTATCAATGAATGTTCTCTTAGATATTTTCTTCCAGATGTTCAGATATTCAGAAAAGGGAACACTGTTACTGAACTGTTATAAAACAGGTGTCACATATTTCACCATCATCATCATGTAGCAAGTCCTTTACAAAACTTCGCTAACATCACAGCATGCCTAAAAACACTTAGTTTCTCACCAGTTCTCTCGCCTCATTTACTTTCCTGCCCAAGGTATTTCCTGATCCATTGTGCCCATCCTTTGTGCTGGTAACTTCAGCCCCTTTTACCCAGTACCATGATCTTTTACTGGTTCTTTCCAATTCCACAGTGGCATTTTGTTTTTTTTTTTTTTTTTTTACAATGATCATCATCATCATCACATGCCCTGCTGACTGGTGTACGCGTTCACACATCTCAACATATCTTGCTTCCTTTGTCCTCTGGATCAGTTCCACCGATGATATCCCTCCATGCCACCATTGCAATCTATCTGTAATCTGTTTCCTCAATCGCCTCTGCCT